CAGCCCACACCAACCCAACCCACACCACCCCACTCCACCCACTCATATCAATTGCCTAAGCATGTGTGTGAGAGCATGTGGGCGGATTTGTCTAATAAACGCCAGACAAAGCATCAAGCGCACCACACACGTGGGCCAAAGGTGAGCAGCTGTTCCATGTGTGCGTCAGTGTGTGTGTGCGGGGGTTGGCTACTCATGGGAATCCTTTTACAGTTGAGCTAATCTCAGTATGCCTCCCTGCCCTCCCCTTTTATGATTTGCCGTTATCATATATAGTTAATCTTAACATCGTTCTCTTTGGTTAACCCGAAGTCTTCTTTGCAGAAAGTCCCGCAATTTGAGCGAGAAGAAGCGCCGGGATCAGTTCAATTCGCTGGTGAACGATTTGAGTGCATTGATAACCACGTCGAATCGCAAAATGGACAAATCCACAGTGCTCAAATCCACAATAGCATTCCTAAAGAATCACAATGGTAAGGACTTGGCAATGAAGATGAAAATCAAATGGAAAATCTATTGAAAATGTCTTTTCCTTTTCGTTTTTGTCCTATGCAGAGGCGACGGACAGATCGAAGGTCTTTGAGATCCAGCCGGAATGGAAGCCCACGTTTCTCACAAATGACGAGTTCACGCACCTGATGCTGGAGTCTCTGGATGGCTTCATGATGGTGTTTAGCAGCATGGGCTCCATATTCTATGCGTCGGAGAGCATTACCTCGCAGCTGGGCTACTTGCCGGTAGGTGGCGCCACCTAAGCAAAGGGAAAACCAAAATTCACCTCTATTCTCTGTCCCTTCAGCATGACCTGTACAACATGAGCATCTATGATCTGGCCTACGAAATGGATCACGAGGCCTTGCTGAACATCTTCTTGAATCCCACGCCCGTCATCGAGCCCCGCCAGACGGACATCAGCGCCAGCAACCAGATTACCTTCTACACGCATCTGAAGCGCGGCGGCCTGGAGAAAGTCGATGCCAACTCCTATGAGCTGGTCAAATTCGTGGGCTACTTTCGTAGGTAGTCGAGCAGTCGCATTCGAGCCGAGTTACTTAAACTAAGCTCTTCTCTATAGGCAACGACACCAGCGCCCACTCGGACAGCCCGAGCAACAGCAGTCAGCTGACGTTGCCGCGCATCTTCCAGCAGCATCCGGGCGTTGAGCTGGACAGGAAGCTGGTGTTTGTGGGCACGGGACGCATACAGACACCGCAGCTGATACGCGAGATGAGCATCATCGATCCCACCAGCAACGAGTTCACCTCGAAGCACAGCATGGAGTGGAAGTTCCTCTTCCTCGACCATCGGGCGCCGCCCATTATCGGGTACATGCCCTTCGAGGTGCTGGGCACCTCGGGCTATGACTACTAYCACTTCGACGACCTGGACAGCATTGTGGCCTGCCACGAAGAGTGTAAGYAGAGGGAAGATCCAGCASTTAAGKCAAAYTCTRATCCCCAACTCTCTCTYCCTCAGTRCGCCAGACGGGCGAGGGCAAGTCCTGCTACTACCGCTTCCTGACCAAGGGCCAGCAGTGGATTTGGCTGCAGACGGACTACTATGTGAGCTACCACCAGTACAATTCGAAGCCGGACTATGTGGTGTGCACGCACAAGGTGGTCAGCCATGCGGAGGTCATCAAGCAGAGCCACAAGGAGCGACAGAAGCCCACCAAGCCCCTCAACTCCTCCAGCAGCAGCAAGTGCGCCTCGGCGACGACCACGCTGCGCGACTTTGAGCTGGGCAACCAGAATCTGGACAGCGCGCTGCTCGGCAATACGCTGGCCAGCCTGAGCAACGAGGTGGCAGCCGCCACGTCGCCCACTGTCGACTCGTCGCCCATGTGGTCGACGGGCGCGGCTCCTGCTGCCAGCACCTGCCAGCTGAACTCGGTGAAGACCTCGCGGCCCGCTTCCAGCTACGGCAACATCAGCTCCACGGGCATCTCGCCGAAAGCCAAGCGCAAGTGCTACTTCTACAACAGAGGCAACGAGTCCGACTCCACCTCCATGTCCGCAGATTCTGTGATCAGTCGCCAGTCGCTGATGACGCATGTCAGCTCGGTAAGCAAACAGATTTCACCTGGCTTATGGCGCTATCTCTATCTCTATCTCTGTTCCTCTACCTGCAGCAAAGTCAGCGGCATCGTTCGCATCATCAGCAGCAACGGCAGCAGCAGCAGCAGCAACAACAGCAGCATCAGCAACAGCATCCGCAGCAGCAGCAGCAACAACAACAACAGCAGCAGCAGCAGCAAAACTCACACTCTCAGCAGCAGCAGCAGCAACAGTTGCAGCATCAACAGCTCACCCAGCACCATTTGCACCAGCAACAGTTGCAGCTGCAGCAGGGCACTGCTGCGCCCAAAATCCTGCCCATGCCGTTGGCAACCACCCAGATTGTCACGAGCAACGCCTGCCAGTTTCCACAGTCCAGCTATCCGCTGACCAGTCCCCAGCTGGTGGCGCCCAGCTTCCTGGAGCCACCGCAGTACCTCGCAGCCATACCCATGCAGCCGGTGATGGCGCCGTTTCCTGTGGCGCCAGTCCTGTCGCCGTTGCCCATGCAGACGCAGTCGGAGCTGCTGCCGGGCGCCGTTGTCATGACCTCCACGCAGAGCCAGCTGCAGGATCAGCTGCAGCGCAAGCACGACGAGCTGCAGAAGCTGATCATGCAGCAGCAGAACGAGCTGCGCATTGTCTCCGAGCAACTGTTGCTGGCGCGCTACACCTACCTGCAGCCCATGATGCCCATGGGCTTCGCTGCCAGCAACATGGCCGTTGCTGCTGCCGCCGTCGAGGGCAACTCTGCCGGCAACCATGTGCAGCGCAACTTCAACTTCAGCGGCAGCAATGCTGTGGAGCCTCAGTTCAATCAGTATGGCTTCGCTTTGAACTCGGAGCAGATGCTCAATCAGCAGGACCAGCAGATGATGATGCAGCAGCAGCAGAATCTGCACAATCAGCAGCAGCACAATCACAGCCTGCAGCAGCAGCAGCCGCAGCAGAGTCAGCAACAGCTGCAGCTGCAACAGAGCCAGACTCAACAGCAACAGCAACAGCAGCAGCAGCAGCAGCAGTTGCAGCTGCAACAGCACAGCCAGAACAACATATTGTCGCGGGAGGATATTGAGGACATCGATGCCTTCCTCAATCTGTCGCCGCTGCAGTCGCTGAATCAGCTCAACAGCAGCAATGCCAACAGCAATGCCAACGCCAGCGGCAACAACAACAATGCCAACAACGCCAGCAATAGCAACAGCAACAGCAACAATAATGGCAACAGCAACAACAGCAACTCCAACACTAACAACAACAACAACTCGAATGCTCCAGAGAACACAAATGAAGACTCGCTGCTCTCCTACATGCAAATGGCCACCGAGTCGGGCGCCTCGCTCAACTTTCACATGGGCATCAGCGACGACGGCTCCGAGACGCACAGCGAGGACAATAAGTTGATGCGCAGCACCAGCAGCAATCAGCAGCAGCAACAGCAGCAGCAACAGCAGCAACAGCAACAGCAGCAGCAGCAACTGTTGCAGCCGCAGCCTGTAGTGGCGCAGCAACTGTTGCAGACGCAACAGCAGCAGCAACAACAAAGCAACTTCTTTGCTGCAAATCCCTTTGGCAGCTCGACCCAGAGTCAGCTGGCAAACGATCTGGAGATCCTGCCATATCCAATCGGGCAGGAGGCAACACAAAGTCTGTTCAGCTCCCCCCACACTGCGAACAGTAGTCAATAGTGCAAGTGGGCGTGGCCTGGCTGAGCTGACCAACCGAAATTCCTTAAAACTTAGCCATAAACAAAGACATAAATATATAT